CATTGCATAGAAACTAATTACTATAAGTGAACAGTTTTGCAATTAATCCTGCTCTAGAGTTGTGTGAGTGGCTTTAATTAATTTCATATTCACACTGTGTGGCCATAGCGGCTTGTCAAAGCCGGATCCCTTAGATCTCAGAAGCTAAGCAAAGACCGGGCCTGGTTAGTACTTGGATGGGAGACCACTGGCTCTCCCCAGGTGCCAGAGTGGGGCACCGGGTGTAAAAACTGTTGTTGTGTCCTTAGGCAAGGCACTTCACCCACCTTGCGTAGTATGAAAGTGGGTGTGTGCGTGGGTGGTGGAGATAGTAAAGGCCGAAGGTGCAGACTGGCAGCCTCTCTTCAGTCAGTCTGCCCCAGGGCAGCTGGGTGTTCAGTGAATGAATAATGATCTGTAAAGTATCTGTGTGACATATGTCTGTGAAAAATGCTATATAAATAAAAACTTACTTGCTCACTGTTATTGGGACGGCCTAAATTGCCAATAGTCTATTTGACAGTAATTATCTTTATTTCGACTTGTATCTTAGCCATAGACTGTAGACTATGGTTTTAGCTGAACCCATCTGTACAATTTGAGTCCAAGAGTAATTCATACAAATTAAAGATTGATGCTCGATGCATTTGAACTTCAAAATCAGTTAAAGGTCCTATATTATACAAATTTGACTCTTGAAAGCTTTCAGCTGTGTTAGAATATTGTTACCTCTTCAAAAAATAAATAAATAAAAATGCCTGGAGTTGTGTTTGGTTTCATTTGTACATGTCTGAGTAATCCTTTATCATTAGCCTGTCTACATCTCCAAAGCTCAAAATGCTCTGTTCCACCTTGTGGCGTCATGAAGCAGTAGTTTTCATGGTTAAAGCTACCTTTTACCTTTTGTTTAGTAGAGACTGGCAGTTCTAGTGCTAAATTAATGAAATGATTCTAGTGAATGCGTAGTTTCAGAACACAGTGGAGCAGTTCCTGTGTAACCATATGACATCACAAGGTGGATGAGACTGTTTTCTGTTTGAGAGAAGAACTTAGCATGAGCCTAAATATGCAGGATTTGTGTGTGAAACTTGTGTGAATGAAACAAAGCACAACTCCAATTCCAGGGCTGAAATTATCCAAATGATTCTAGTGATGGCGTATGGAGTTTAAAAACACAGTGGAGCACTTCCTGTATTGCACCAAACTATTATTTAGAAAAAAAGCTAAAAAAAAGTTATATATTTTGTTTTGAATTATATGAGAATTTTGGAGAGGAGATGTCATCTATATTTGAGAGACACGTTATTAGCTGCAAATTAGCTGCTGTGGTTGAATCGTCTCAAATTTGGATGGAGGATTTTTCACCCTCTGTTGTCCAGTTCCAGACCATTCTGGATTCTAACAGAATATAGAAGGGATTGGCTGGTCAGGCAAGCTGAAAAGTGTTTTGGGATTTCTAGAGCTAGAAAGGATGAGGAGGGAGTAGTGGTCTGTTAGAGGGACTGGTGTTTTTGCTTAGTCTTTCTGACTGGTGTCCTTTGGTTTTCATGTCACTTAGCTGAGGAGTGTATCAGGGAGCAGAGGATCTAGACTAGTTTAAATTACTTGTATTTATCTTAATCTCAGTATTTTTGACCAGTTAACATTTACTTGATGATCCAAGCTTAAAACATTTCAAGGTGTTCAAGATTCAAGACTCAAGAGTTGTAACCATTAAAACATAAAAGTCACATTGTTTCAGTCAGCACAAATGTTGACAGACCACGTGTGATGTTTTGACTTCCTTTTGCATTTATTTTACAACGCAGATGGTAACTGCACAAAATGTATGTAATGTATTTTAGCCAAAAAGAAAAGTTACTAAAACATCAGGGGGCTTCAGGGTCACTGCAGTTTTTACATTTGACTATTTCCTTTTGGGAAATTTAATGGATGCTTTGTCAATGTTAAGAGATCATAACCATTACATATAAGTTAATCAGTATGCATTCACCTGTCTGAAATTACGGTGCTCATTTACCTTCTTCTTGCTGTGTATTGAACTAGTGTAAGTAGAGAGGACTTTAAATTATTCATTTTGTAGGTGTCAGTAGTACGTGTGATAAAAGGTAGAAAATAAAACTCTGCTGAAGATTTCAAACAAGACTTTCCAGGCCTGTCAGACAAGTTAACATCATTGCAATTGTTATACATTTCTACAGGACATGACAGTAATACAACAAAACAGGATAATAATGTGATAAATAATAGCACAATTAAACATTGCTTGATTAGTGTTTTAGTCACAGAAGTTATTTAATTGACACTCAAATAAAATCTTATTGTATGACAAAATAAGAATCAATTATTAAAAAGAAAATCCCTACTAGTACATAGAAATTTAACTCACAACAATATATAAACTGGAAATGGAAATAATAATGGAATAATGGTCCATCTCTCATTTATTAAACAATAGGCCTATGTCTATAGAGTTGAAATGACATGTAACATATTTTAAGGCAAGACACTGATAATGGCTATGAGTTCAGAAATGGTTGGGCCAACTGTCCCTCTGAACTAAGTTGGCTATTCAAGTGTTTTTATTGTAAAAATACATAGGAAAAGACACCTAACCAAATCACTGAACTACCTCCTTCACCTAATCTATTTGTCTTCATACTTTGGAACATTTCATCTAGGAGGCAAGCATGTGACACAGCCCATGAGTATTAAGTATCACTTTTTGCATTGAAATGTTCAGCAGTAACCGTGGTGACAGAGTGTACATATTAGCAAACACTGATATATCCTGATATGTTTAATTGTCTGAAAACTCACAACTCACAACTGCAAAGTATCAACTTTAAGACAGCTTGTTTGGAAGTCCTTTAATTGGCTAACTCTTACTGTATTTTTGTCTCCACAGTTCCTCTTCATCATGAAAATCAGATACGCCAAGAAGCCATTGTTTCTTGTACTTGGAGCTTTGGGGATTTTAATGGTTCATCTATTTACAGACTCAAACAATTCTCAAAAAGTTCAAGTTTTTAGGAAAAAGTTCCAAGAAAGTGTTGAAAGTGATGCGGAGGAAAAGCCTACTCAACCTGCAAAAGTCAACTCCTATGTGTACTCATGGCCCAAGTGTGAACGAAACATGTCTGCAGTCAATATCTCAGGCTTTAGCAGTCTCCCAGAGCACATTCAAAACTTCCTCTACTATCGCCACTGTAGGCACTTCCCCATGCTCCTGGACATTCCCAACAAATGTGGAGGACCTGAAAAATCATCTGAAGTTTTTCTCTTGTTGGTGATCAAAAGTTCACCTGGGAACTATGAGCGGAGAGAGGTGCTGCGCAAAACATGGGCCGAGGAGAGACAGCACGACGGTTTATGGATACGAAGGATTTTTATTTCCGGTACAGCAGGCGAGGATCAGCAGAGAAAAAGGTTCGACAGGCTTCTTCAGGTGGAACATAAGTTGTATAGAGACATCCTCCAGTGGGACTTTGCAGATTCTTTCTTTAACCTTACTCTGAAGCAGATTTTGTTTTTGGAGTGGGCAGAGAGAAACTGCCCCAACGTCCGCTTTCTAATGAATGGTGATGATGACGTTTTTGCCCACACAAACAACATGGTTGAGTATCTCCACAGCCTCCAGGACAATGATGGCAGCAAGCATCTCTTTACAGGGCATCTGATACACTATGTAGGTCCCATAAGATCACCAGGAAGTAAGTATTATGTTCCAGTTCAGGTGGAAGAATCAAACTCGTATCCTCCTTACTGCGGCGGAGGGGGCTTCTTACTGTCCGGCTACACTGCTTCAGTTATTTATAACATGTCCAAGTCCATTGTACTGCTTCCAATTGATGATGTTTATATGGGCATGTGCCTGGCCAAAGCTGGTTTAGGCCCTGAGGCACACCCACTGGTGAGGACTGCAGGATTCCACATTCCCTCCAAAGAGGATGCATATGACCCGTGTTTTTACAGACATGTCCTGCTGGTGCACCAATTTCACCCCATGCACATGTTTCTCATGTGGAACCAAGTACTCAATCCAAATTTGAAGTGCAGTAACAGTTTCGAAATACTGACATGATAAATTGTCACATTTATATATCGCTTTTCCACTTAATACTCAATAGGGGATGTAAAGCTTTCTGTGTTTTGAGTTTTCTGTTAAATGAAGTTGCACTTTCATTAACGGCTGTTTGAGCAACCAATTCTCAGCACTCCAAAAAATTTAATGTTGATCCTAGATTAAAATAGTTAGCAATCAATTTAGTTATAATAAACTTTGATTTTAAAGGTCCCATCTCATGCAAAATTGAGACTGAACAAAATACAACTCCAGGTATGTTTTAGATGAGGAAACGACATTATAACATAGATCAGAAAATAGGAAAATAGAATAATAAGGGCCCTTTAAGTTGATTAGATATGTTATATATATATATATATATATATATATATATATATATATATATATATATATATATATATATATATATATATATATATATAATATATATATATGTAATGGAAGAAGGAGACATAATTTAATATTTCATTCTTTTTGGAGTTTCTGTGGTCTCACTGACTTCTATTGCATTGTAAATGAAGGAGATATTTGTGAATTGCCGTGTCATATTTTTGTTATACCTTATCACAAAAACAAAATTATATGGGAAGGAGCAGTGCTAGACAAAAAGCAAAATAATTTTATATAGCTTTTGTCACTTGCAAATTTTCTCAGAGTGGAGAGAGTAACCAAAACCTTCTACAATTACAATTAAGAGTTGTTTCTTATACAGTATATTATATTACTCTTTGTACAGATTTGATATCAGTCTGTCCCCACACCCTCTGTCACACCTCAAGCTTGGACAGAAGTGATTGTGCATTTTTTCAGTGAGACGTGAAATGAAGGAGCTCACTGGTCCCAAATCACTCACAGAGTAAACGTTTATCTTACCTCATATGAACAGTATCTTATGCTTCGCTCATTATTTTGGTTAATGAGCAGTAATCAACTAAGTTTTTTCAGTTCCCTGTGATTTTTTCCCTTTATTTTTTTCCAATATGACCAACAATGCGTGTTGCTGATTGGCTAATCCCCTTATCAGTCGCACTCCTTTTGAAGTAGGTGAGATTCACCGATGACCAGACTGACCTCTTAATAAAGTACTGAAGAAGTGTGTATTCTGGATCCCAGGTAAATACTACCCAAGCTGGAGTAAAAGTATGAAAAATATACCATTGGATAGTGTAAAGTCAAATTCCTCTGTGGGACATTCAAAACAGACACTGGATGCATGCCTTTTGTCTTGCAGAAGGACACAACATCTCTAAATGTATCCTATTTGAAATTGACAGATTTGATTTGAAATACCCACATCATGCATTGTACCACTGGATAAGATAGTTAGATCATTTAAAGCAGGGGCTCTTTACCTTTTCTCTCTTGAGGCCCAACTTTTTCTGTAGAAAGTAACCTGGGGCCCAATCTCATATCAATTGCATTATTTTTATAATATATGTATTGTATGTTTTTCTTATTTTACTAAAAACTGTAAACAGTTTTTGTTCCCAGTTTGGAAATTTTTTTGTTTCAAATTTTACTTCTGATTGGCCACGTCACAGCCTTACAAATAAGCACAGCCAAAATGAAATGAAAAAAATACTGTCACAATAATACCTAAACAGCACTGGATATCTTAACTTATTACTTATTAAATGTATTTATCAACAAGTAGGAAGCCATGAAATGCAGCTAGTTATTTGATATGTGCAATTGATAGGTTGCTGTACATTTGAATGTTGGGGTTGATTGTTTTGTATTTAGGATTTTGTATACTGATAAAATGCACTTTCTGAATCATTAAGACTTACTCAGGGTAATGCACATGTCTGTGCTTGTACGAAGTATCGCCACGTTGGAAAGAATTTTATATGTAGTTTGGTACTATGGGCTACTTGGGCTATGATTAAGGTTTTTTGTTTATTTTTAGTTTTGCTAATTAACCATGAATCAGATTTGGAGATGTTAACGGTGCAATTTGCAACTTTTCTGATGGAGGTTCTGCCATCATCTTGTCTCATGGAGAAGTTACTGCTATAAATGTGATGTTCCGCAGTATGGCATTAAACAAATATATCTTTTATCTGTTCAGGTACAGGTGTTCTTATTTCTCAAAACTAAAAGTGCAAGTAAAAACATGCATTATAACTATGAACAGGCCCGCCTCTCCACATCTGACCTTGAACTTGGCCCTGTGACGTGGCCTGCTTGTCTCCATGGAGATATTTAAATTAAATACATGGAATCAAGGTCCCTCTACCCTCTTCCAGAAAAGTTACACAGTGTACTTTAAAACATGTTTCAGCTAGGTGTGTGTCATACTAAATGTTGTCCAATTTGAAAATGAATAACTTTAATTACTTTTTTGTTTGTTCTGGGTATGCAATGTTTACAATGTTTTTATATGGAAAGTTACTATTTTTATGGGAACAGTTAGATCCTGGTTGAATACAATAAGATTCGTGGTTACAATTGTTAAGTAAGAAATTATATATGGCAATAAAAGTGGTTTTGTGGAGTCTTGGTTCCTGTTGCATTTGTAGATACACTTTAAACATTCCTATTCATCTCATTAATGTTTAATTAAAATAAGGAAGATCAAGCTGAAGTTGTAGTCCATAAATTTTCTAGAATATTTATGTAGATTTTTATTTTTTTACTTTCATTGACACTATAGTCATTGTGGTAGGAATAACGCTGCCACGCCTATTTTGGATTAACTTTATGACGTTTTACATTTATCTTCAAGAAGTCACATGATAAGTGGGTGGTAGATTGAGTAAAGTAAATTTTTTACTATTTCCTGCAAAAGGCTGCTCACCTTCAGTACACAAAACAGAGTTACGTCCAATAGTCAAAGTACTTTATTTTAGGTTATTAGGTTCTTTTTTTTTCAGACCAAGAAATTTGTTTTCACACCTGCCAACTGTCCCAAATGCCAAAGTACATGGAGAAACGTTCTATTTGTTTTAATTAGTCATACCACTCGAAACGAAACTCTCAGGTGTGAAAACAAAACTCTTGCTCTGAAAAAAGAACCTAATAACATAACTTATCGGCAGTGTTGGGGAGTAACGGATTACATGTACCGCCGTTACGTAATCAGAGTACAAATTATGAGTAACTGTATTCAGTTACAGTTACTGTTTCAATGAGTGGTAATTGGATTACAGTTACTTTGCTGAAATAAGTGGATTACAAGGCGGTATTTTCCTGTTTTCACATTTTGTGCTACATCCCATTTATTTATTTTTTTATTTCGGTAATTTCACTCATTGCCGGAAACCCAAACAGAACGCGCGCATTAAGACCGATGTAAACGTCATATTAAAGTTGGCGGTGTCAGTCACACAGTGGAAGCAGCAGTGCATTGGTAAAAACGCATTTGTGTCTTGGAAATTCTTCTCCCGATGTGAGATATATATATATATATATATAACAAATATAAAATCGCCTACAACTTAAATGTGAAACAGGAGCTACTGGCACTGGTGAAAACAACCTGCATAGACTCATAATATCTGCACTACTGTCCTATAGTGACCTGCGACATGAGTGGACGTGCACACAAACACAAACACACACAAACACACACCTTCATCATCGTCATCAACCTGAGAACCCGCGGACCACGTCTCCTTCCGTAGTTACTGCGCGGACACCGCCGTCTCGTGCGCCGCGTGTGGACTGTGTTTTCTCGCGTAAACCGAGCTTTCCTCCTGTGCGCCTCTAAACCAGAACTAACACCAGGACTAAACCAGGACTAAAACAGGACTAAAACAGGACTGAACCAGGTTTAAACTAGGACTAAACCACGACTAAACCAGAACTAAAGACCTGGTCTTAGACCAGATTTTAGACCTGGTCTAGACCAGGTCTAAAATCAGGAGTAAACCAGGTCTAAAAATCAGGACTAAGCCAGGACTAAACAACATGACACCTAACAGTAGGTTGACATAATTAAAGGTGATGTCATATAAAAAATAATTTCTCTATCAATAATATTTTTTTAATATGGTGAAGGAAAAGCTGATTTTGTTACTGTCTTTTAACAGACAAAACCTCTTATATTAAGATATCGTGGTCTTTGTTTCTCTACAGCAAACAGTTGCTTGTTCATGAAGACTTGGGCTCAGACAATTTGAAGACAACAAACAAGAATTTTCAGAATGTGGTTGCTACATTCATGTCGTTTAAAAAAACATGACAATATCAAGTAATCCAAAGTAATTACTCACTTTAAGTAATTTAATGGATTACGTTACAAACTACATTTTGGGGTGTGTAATCTGTAATCTGTAGGGGATTACATTTTAAAAGTAACCTTCCCAACACTGCTTATCGGAAGACCAAATTAACCTAATTGAACTGAAATACTTTACTTACTTTTTGTCTGAGTAAAAGTACAGATCCACTCGTGACTCCTGACAGTCACGAGTGGAACTGTACTTTTGTAATCTGCACGCAACCTCTGTGTTCTGAAGTGAAAACGGTTTACAGCACTGTCGCCCGCGTGTCAACATAAGCACTAACAGAATAGCGCTCCATCTCTCTGACTGCATTTCCAATTTAAAAACATTTATAACAGGCCTACACTAACACTAACGCTAGATGTCAGGCGTTCGTTGGCTTCAGGCTCATCTCTGTATCAAACAGGATCCTCATTTGGGATTGTGCGGGATTTTTGCAGTGCGAGAGCCTCCTGGTGGCCACGGGAGGCGCATGCATCCACATTGACCTGCCAGTGTATGTAGGCCTATAATAGTCTGTCACAAATAAATAGAATATCATGAAAAAGTACACAATTTTTTGACACTCATTTCAGAAAGTCTAACCCATATATTATATAGACTCATGACACAAAGAGTGAAATATTTTAACAGTTTATTTCTTGATTTTTTTTAGAATATGACCTACAGATAATGAAGAAACAAAATTCTGTGTCTCAGAAAATAAGAATATTGCGAAAAAGTGAAATATTGGGAACGGTGTTGCACTTTAATCAATAAATTAACACCTGCAAAGGTTTCCTGACCCTTTAAATGGGCTCTGAGTGTGGATCAGAGGGCGACACAATCATGGGGAAGGCTGCTGACTGGACAGATATCACTGACAGCCTCCACAAGGAGGGTAAGGTAAGCCACAAAAGGTCATTCCTATTGAAGCCGGTTGTTCACAGAGTGCTGTATCCAAGCAAAAGGTACATCAGCAAAAGGGATGACCGCCTTGAGAGGATTGTCAAAAAAAAAAATCACTTAGGAATTTGGGGGAGCTTCACAAGGAGAGGACTGAAGATCAATGGTCCAAAATTATCTTCTCAGATTAAATTAAATTTTGCATATCTTTTGGAAATCAAGGTCTGATCAAACCAAAC